TCTGTGAGGAAAAGAGAACCATGATGCAATTCACTGTGGTATCAGAAATTTTGAAATCAGATTGGCTAAGAGACGAAAGACAACGACAATGAAAAGCATCAACAAATATTCCTGTTGCTATGTCCCAAGAACCTCACTGTGGCACAATATGTGGACTTGTATGCAGGTCACTAGTGGGACTGAAGTGTGTCATATGACACAAACATAAAAATTGAATGAGGTTGTTGGATCCTCATATGCCAAAAATCGATAGGAAAAATCATATATATATATATATATATATATATATATATATATATATATATATATATGTGTGTGTGTGTGTGTGTGTGTGTGTGTGTGTGTATGGTAGAATTGCATCTTGTGAAGTTTTTGAACATATCCAGTTAGAAAAAAAATGCAAAATTTAATGAAGCATTTAAATCTGATAACATCCTGTTCTACACAGAATTACAACACCTAATGCTATCATTCTTTTCCTGAGTTTCCTTCAACACATTCAAGAGCTCCTAACCTCCCTACTGCGTTTATGTTGAGAGCACTTGCTGACTGCATCCTAATGTTACATTCTTGTGTGTGAAGTTGCTCCTCCCATAAAAAAATCTCTGATCAGAAGAGAGCATGATTCAACAAGAAAAGGAAATGCATTGAGAGAATTGCTAATCTCACAGCTCTCAAATGTAATGTGTTGAATGTGTTTCTGTCTCTTAGCATTTGTTTTTATTAAATTTTCAAAATCTGCTCTTTCATTTGGAATAACCCTATATATTTTAAAAAGAAGAGAGAAACCGCAAACATTTTTGGTTTTAACGTGAATTTTTTTTAAAAAAATACTACGCTTTATTGTCCATAATTTTGCTACACGAGTTTCCAGTCTTGTGACCTTCATCAGGCAAAGCATGGAGATTTCCACATATTAAAAATAATTAATTTTTTTTCTTATGTTTTTTGATGTTAAATATTCTTGATATAAGACATTCTCTTTTTTCTGTGTTAGTGACCCAAATGTCTTTCTTGATCTGGTAGTGAAAAGGTCTGCGTGAAGGGTTATAAAACAATTAAGATTGGTCCGAGAAATGGTGAAGGAGTTATTGGCATTCTTATCTTTTAATGACCCCTGTGTGTTCTTAGATCTATTTCCACTTCCTTGTGTTTTTTGTCAGAATCTGTGTATATATGTATACCCATTTATGCATTATATATATATATATATATATATATATATATATGCATAAACAAGCAAGCAAGCAAACTAGACATCCCAATGTGATCCATAACATCAGGGAAAAATAGTGCAGCCCACAAAAAACAAAAAAAACTACTTAGTCTCTAACAAAACTTACAAGTGCTGGGAATGTTGTAAACCATGTCAACAAAGTCGGAGAAAAATTAATATGTGTGATAAGAACAAGGAAACAATGAAATTTACGAAAATGCTAAACGTTTCACCTGCACCATTAACATCTCTGTTGTGTGATAATGTGCTTCCATAAACCAAGAAACAAGAAATATCTGAGCAGAGAACATGGTACAGAGGACTTTCTTTGCGGATGGAAACATTGTGTGCGAAAAAGTATTTAGCCTATCTAAAATCTGTTGTGAAATTGGACTATTTTCTTCTAAGGAATTGTCTTGGCTAGACTCCACCTTATTTGGTTATTTTTCTATAATTTTCATGGTAATTGTACTGATGAACTTTCCTCTTTGGTATCTAGACTTTATGGGTTTAACCATTACCATGCTGGTGGCAAAAATTGTCTCTATAGAATTCTCTCCCTTTGCAGTTGCAGGCACATTCTGCCACCTCGAGATGTTTGCTATAAATAAATACTTATAAACTGTTATTTCTGGTGTTTTAAGCTGGAAATCACCTACTACTTCTTTGAAACAAGGTTAAACTTCTGTTTTCTGATGCCATTTTGAATTCTTCTACAAAAGGTGTAACATTGATGAAATCCATATTAATTTTTCATGATTTTTTTGTAAACAAAAATGTCCACATCAACATCCGACAAAATCTTTATTCAGGAACTTTTTTTTTTTGATTCAGACTCTAATGATTTTGAAGGATTTACTCAAGTAGCAACTGATGTTGAAGTGCACTATTTACATTGCTCGGGCAATCATCCTCATCTTTGTTGCCATATTTATCACAACGTTTCGGCTGTTGTACACTCTGGCCTTCTTCAGTTGGTTGGAATGTCGAACTGAACCCTTTATTTCACTCGCTGGGGTAGACTGTTCTAGTTCCACGTACCATGGATGTCAGTTATCAATTCTCTCCTGTTAATTCACCACTCAAACAAAGACACATGACACAGTGGATAAAGGCATTAGTTAGATCCAGTGACAGGACCCAAAGAATGTGATTGTGAGTTCAATACCTGGTTAAGGCGGTGGAGAACTTGAAGAGGGGAATTAACAGGAGATAACTGATAACTGACATCCATTAGACATGGCACGTGGAACTAGAACAGTGTACCCCAGCGAGTGAAATAAAGGGTTCAGTTCGACATTCCAACCACCTGAAGAAGTCCGGAGTGTACAACAATCGAAACGTTGTAATAAATATGGCAACAAAGATGAAGATGATAGTCCTAGCAATGTAAATAGTGTCACATAGTACCTCATCTCGGAAACATAGACAGATACTAATGTTGAAGTGGTTGAAGATGATAACCACGCGTCACTACATGAAGGAAAATGATGACCACAAGGTGCTGAGAAGTTACTAACATCCATAGATGACTAATTTTATAGAAGTTACTGGCCCCATCGATGTACCTGATAGCCTTTTTGAAGGTGAATTATTTTGTCTATTATAAATGACAAAATAACTTTATTTGTCAATGAGACAAAATAAATATGCTACTCAGGTGAAAGAAAGAGCAAACAAATGCTGGTGTCTACTCATATGTAAACATGTGAAAGGATGTCACTATTTTGAAGAAATGAAAATGTTAATGAATTCCCTTTCATATATTTAGGGTTTACTAAATTCTAATCATAACTTTTTAAAACAATAAACATTGCCGAGGAGTGAAAGTAGTTAAAAAGAACTGTCCCTTTGACACACCATTTTTTTTGTGAGTACAAAGGTTAAAAGATTACCAAAAGATCTTTCTTTTTGCTTTATAAAGTTTTCTATATACATAAGCATATAACTCTATTATAGTTTGGACTTTGATGCTAGTGCTGCAGACATTGCCATGAGTCACTGTAGAGTCTATGCCCCATTTCAATCCTTGCCTCTGAATAATTTGGGAACAGACTTACAAGGGAGCAAGAATTTAGAGATCAAAATCTACCTACTTAACTGCAGCAATGGAAATAAGGAAAAACTGTTCCAGATTCTCTTGCTTACGCCAGCCCTCTCACCCCCATAACCACACACTGAATGTTTGCTTAATATTCCTTTGATATCTACAAGTAATGCTTTTAGCATTGAGGTAGATAATGTACATGAATAGGGAGGTGGAAATTGATATCAATAATAGATATCTCTTAGTTTTTATAGTTCTTTTTTTTTTCACCATGAAGAGCTGTAGTGTGACAGATTAAAATAGTGTTGGTCTTTTGGTGAAGCTGTACTTCACTTGTATCTGATTCACTTGAAAGAAACATTTGCTCCATTGAAAACAGATTCTGACGAGGTTGGTGGAAAGTAAAATCAAATTTTTAAAGACCCATCCCCTGCCGCTCCCACCCGGTTAGAAATATATATATATATATATATATATATATAAAAAGGAACAAAACTTAAAATTTATTTCTGAACATAAAAATCATTTTCCTATTCTTTTCTGTCTTCTTTCTTTTCATATTTCTTCCTCCTTCATTTATTCTCCTTCATTTTCATTCTGTATCATATTTCATCCCTTCTCATTCTTCCACTTTCATTCATTCAACTTTTCTTTACCTTCATCTTTCTCTTGTATCCATTCTCATTTTTCTTCTTTTCATTTCTTCCACTTTCATTCATTCTCCATTCGTTTCCTACATTTTTTTCATTTGCCCACATTTACTTTCCCTCACTTCTTCCGTTTTCATTCATTCTCTAATTTTTCCTATTTACTTCATTCATTTTCTTTTCTTCTACTTTCATTCTCCTTTCTTTTCCTTCTTCCGCTATCATTCATTCTCTTTTCTTTCTTTTGCTATCATTCATTCTCTTTTATTTCTTTTGCTATCATTCATTCTCTTTTCTTTCTTTTGCTATCATTCATTCTCTTTTCTTTCTTTTGCTATCATTCATTCTCTTTTCTTTCTTTTGCTATCATTCATTCTCTTTTCTTTCTTTTGCTATCATTCATTCTCTTTTCTTTCTTTTGATATCATTCATTCTCTTTTCTTTCTTTTGATATCATTCATTCTCTTTTATTTCTTTTGCTATCATTCATTCTCTTTTATTTCTTTTGCTATCATTCATTCTTTCTTCTGCTATCATTCATTCTTTCTTTCTTTCTTCTGCTATCATTCATTCTCTTTTCTTTCTTCCTCCATTATTCTTTCTATTCCTTTTCCCCTCAGTCATTTGTTCTTTCCTCATCATCTTTCTCTATCATTCTCTTTTCTTTTCCTTCATCTTTCTCATTTTATTTTCCATCCATCTTCTTCCCTCATTTTCCTCCATTCATTTACTTTTACAGCTTGAATTTTTACTTCTTCCTCTTTTATTCATTTTTTCTCAATGGCTGCTCAAGAGAAAATAACCCTACCAACTATAAATAGAGAAACACTTACAAATTTATAGAATGATGAAGATCAGGGCCAAAAGATAATCTAAATATCTGACTTGAAAGTAAAATCAAAAAACAAAAAGAAACAAAAAAATAAAGATAACAGGTTGGTGTAAATAAATGAATAAATCCGACGTAAGTGTTTATTTACGTTGAATCATTAAAAAGAAATTCGTCTGGAATGCAGATTTTATTCAGGTTTTTATGAGGTCATCTTTTAACATTATTTTTATGTCTATCTTAACCATTTGCCATCTAACTTTAAAGAAGAGAAGTAAGAGAGACAGAAAGAAAGAAGTAGTAGGGTGTAAAGAAAAGGGAGTTCAAAAAATAGAGAGAATACAAAAAGGAAAAAGAGAGGAAGAAGAAAAGGAGAGAACACAAGAAGATAAAGCGAGGAAGCAAGAATAGACAGAGAGAGAAGAGAAGAAGAAGGCTTGAAAAGAGAATGACAAAGTTTAGAGAAACATTGAGAAAAGACAAAGAGGGTGGGAGGTGACAAAGAGAACCAAAATTAAAAAGTGTGAAGGGAGAGAGAAAGAGAGCACAAAAGACCGAGTGGAGAGAGAGAGAGAGAGAGCAAAAAAGACCGAGTGAAGAGAGAGAGAGTGAGAGAGAGCAAAAAAGACTGAGTGAAGAGAGAGAGAGTGAGAGAGAGCAAAAAAGACCGAGGTGGAGAGAGCAAAAAAGAGAGTGGAGAGAGAGCAAAAAGACCGAGTGGAGAGAGAGCAAAAGACCGAGTGGAGAGAGAGCAAAAAGACCGAGTGAAGAGAGAGAGAGCAAAAAGACCGAGTGAAAGAGAGAGAAAGAGAGAGAGAGAGAGAGAGCAAAAAAGACCGAGTGAAGAGAGAGAGAGAGAGAGAGAGCGAAAAAAAGACCGAGTGAAGAGAGAGAGAGAGAGCAAAAAAGACCGAGTGGAGAGAGAGCAAAAAAGACCGAGTGGAGAGAGAGCAAAAAAGACCGAGTGAAGAGAGAGCAAAAAAGACCGAGTGAAGAGAGAGCAAAAAAGACCGAGTGGAGAGAGAGCAAAAAAGACCGAGTGGAGAGAGAGAGAGAGAGCAAAAAAGACCGAGTGGAGAGAGAGAGAGAGAGAGAGAGAGAGAGCAAAAAAGACCAAGTGAAGAGAGAGAGCAAAAAAGACCAAATGAAGAGAGAGAGCAAAAAAGACTGAGTGAAAAGAGAGAAAAATGGAAAAGTAAAAATGGAAAGCAAAGCATGTGAGAATAGAAAAAGAGAGTAAAAGAAAAGCAGAAAGAGAATGTAAGAAGAGAAATAAATTAAAGAACAAGAACAGATTGGAAAAAGAGAATAACGAGAGAAACTGCAAATAAAATAAAAATGAAAAGAAAGAGTAGAAAGACAATATGTTAGAAGAGAAAAAGAGAGAGAGAGCAAGAGAAGAGATTAAGATAAAAAGAAAAAGAGACAAATTGGAGAGCAAAAATAGATGTGAGAGAGAGAGAGAGAAAGTAGTGAAAGCGCAGCAACTAATAATTACCAAGAAAGAATAGGTCCTATTGCCACTTCAGAGAGAGACTTGGCTTTCTTTTATTATCATTGAGAAATATCCAAGGACGGATTTGGCTAATTCCCTCAGACTGTGATGATCTAAAGAAAAATATTTAATAAATCTTAAAATTAGCTTAGCAATGACAAGAAAAATTGCTGTACTCTTATAAACTTATTTCGTGATTGATGTTTTGATTACAGAGTTTTGGGCTGTGACCTATCTGACCTTCTCAGTGTTGTCTGAAGTGCAGGAATTATTTAGACTACTAACCTCACTTATGTTCTGAACAATGGTTCCACCAATGTGCTCTCTGACCTTATTAGCGCTGTCCGAAGTTCTAAGAAGATTTACAGTTATTATTCGTGGAATTAGACGATTATCATCATTTTCATTGTTTTGATCAATACGTATAAGGCAGTAGATTTATCTGCTTGATATAGGTATTTTTTGTCATCACTGCTGATTATTTTTTTTTGTTTTCAAAAGTAAACAATCTGCAACTTCTTCCAATAAGTTTGTCCTGCTCATAACTTATTTCTATATAATGACAGAACAGAAAAGATTTTCAATCAAATGTAATGATGATATATATTCTACATATTTTTTCAAGTATTTTATTATTTACTGTTTTAAATGCTTCATCTAATCCAAATTCAAGATAATATTACTAATACTACTAGATGAAAAGCAAATGAAATTAAGATGAAAGAAATACTAGTCAAAAATTAATAATGGCTGACAATGCAAATTCAAGATAATATTACTACTAATACTACTAGATGAAAAGCAAATGAAATTAAGATGAAAGAAATACAAGTCAAAAATTAATAATGGCTGACAATGCAAATTCAAGATAATATTACTACTAATACTACTAGATGAAAAGCAAGTGAAATTAAGATGAAAGAAATACTAGTCAAAAATTAATAATGGCTGACAATGCAAATTCAAGATAATATTACTACTAATACTACTAGATGAAAAGCAAATGAAATTAAGATGAAAGAAATACTAGTCAAAAATTAATAATGGCTGACAACGCAAATTCAAGATAATATTACTACTAATACTACTAGATGAAAAGCAAGTGAAATTAAGATGAAAGAAATACTAGTTAAAAATTATATAATGGTTGACACGGCTTCTAATCAAAAATGAAATCATGATTATATTACAACTAGAAATGTGATTACATCAAAATAATAAATATGAAATATAACTTAAGAACTTATCCCTTATTTCCAAACTGATTGTTTACTGACAGCCATAGATTGAATAATTACACTGAAAAGCAAATATAAATAAGATCAAAGACATAGTACCCAAAAATTAATAAAGGAAGGAGCTTGTATACACCAATACCTACAGCACATGTTCATTAAGGTTACGACAATTCAAGAAATTCTTTTGACTAGAATTTCATTCATCTTAATTTTGGTTGATTTTCATCACAAAACATTCAGATTGTCATTAGGGAATATTAGTAGCACTCCCCAATGTAACAACATCGTGCCCAGTCAGTACCTAAACTGGGTGACTGGTTGGGAGTACCAGGTGCTGTAAGCTTGGATGTGCAGTAGTATAACTGATTACAGTTCAGAGAGTCATTTCAATTCCAGCTGAGTTTGTTATATTCACTTACACACAATTTCCATTGGGAAAGGTATGAATCCACCTGTTCTCCCTCCAGCTATGGGTAAATTAGTAAAACTTGTATCACTAAATCATTATTATTCATTGCGTACAAAATATTTACATTTTGGTATTAAATAAGCCATAGAGTTTGATATGCCACTAAACAAAATCAACCAACCAATACAGCAACAATGTACTTTGGATTATTTCTAAGACAAAGAATAGGAGTAAACATTTCTTATGTACATGGAATAGTGGAACAAAATGAAACAACTTGTCCTTCATTACACGATCAGGGTAAGACTTGCTAAGAAATTTACTCTTTATGACAAGTACATTTTTACAAGAGTTTTTTTTAAAAATCATTCCACTTCAAGCAAGGCAATAAAGCCACTAAGACACAAGAGTTTACTGAGTGTGAGAGAATATATATGAAAAAGAAAAACATTGTGAGAGAGAGCAATAAATGAATAGCAATTAAGAAGACAGTAGATGACGAGTGACATCTCATTTAAATTTTTGAAAATTAAAGTTGACTGGGAAGCAATAATCTGGAAGAGAGTTCCACAAACGAAAACAAATGATTACCACAGAACTTACGGTTATGTCTCGCCATTTTAACTTTAAAATGATGAGACCTTGCAGCCAATCTAGTACTGCACTTAAATTCACAAAGTCTATGTACCACAGAGGAAAGTTCATCAGAACAATTACCATGAAAATATTTACAGAAAAGGCACAGGGAAGCTACATTACAGTGATGGAGAATTGACTAAAGCAGAGGTGCTTGGTCAGGACCAATACCATTACAGATTCTTCTTTGGTGTGTGTGTGTGTGTGTGTGTGTATGTATGTATGTATGTATGTATTTTATTTTATATGCATGGTACTTAGTTGAAAGCACTCAATATCAGTGACAGAGCAAACATAATAAGAATTACAACTGCGTATGTATGTATCCCCAAATGCACAGATAAGTATCTGTGCCTAGCCTTGAATTGCTTATATGGATGCGTTAGTGAACTAAAATGCATACACATGTATGTATATGTCTATGTGCATGATGGTGCCACCCCAAACACCCACATGAGCAGATTCCCACTCCCACCACCAAATATAGTCAAACAAGCATAAATGGATCTAATTTAAAAAAATTTTGTCTGATGATCGTAAAAGCATGAAACCCAGCATCACAAACTCATATATATATATATATATATATATTATATTACACACACATGCACACAAGGTCTATCTGAAAAGTAACAGGACTGAGTGTGCTGTGTGAGCTGTGGGATAAAAAGATTGTATTATCATCTAACATGATATCTTGGGAGTATATAACTTTAATGTTATATTTCTGCAAGCATTGCATATTTTTTTTCCACATGCAATAGTTGTGGCAGGACAAATCATGGCTGCTTCAACATAACAATGTATCTGCTCACAACACCCTGAGCATCCGGCTCTTCCTGGCAAAGAACATTACCGTACTGGAACAAACTTCCTATTCAATTTCTTTTCTTCAAGATGAAATGGATCATCAAGTGCACCTGTTTTGAAGGCGTGGAGGCCATCAAGATGGCTGTAACAATGGAGATGAGGGGCATCCAAGAAGAATCCTTCCAGCAGTGAATAAAAGCATGGCAGAGAAATATGGAAAAGTGCATTAGGCTCAAAGGGGGTGGGGGGACTACTCTGAAGGGGAAACCATATAGTTTGTTGTTTGGAATTGAAATAAACTGTTTGTGACACTAATCCTGCTACTTTTCAGACAGACCTCATATATATATATATATATATATATATATATATATATATATATATACCATAAATATAGCATATCTTAAAACTATATTTCTTTATATATATATATATGTGTGTGTATAGCGGTGGGTCTCTTCAGAAAACAAAATCTTTTATTTGGAAAGGCTATATAGATTCCATGCATGGTGCCAAATCCATTCAAAACTGCCAGTTTTCTAAGATCAATGGTTAAAAATGGTTTTGAGCAAAATGAATGAAGCCATCCTCCTTCAAATCTAGTGAACTGGCACTAAAGAGTCACAAAGAACAGCACCAAGAAAAAAAAAAAAAAGAAACCCCATCACTTGTGAACTTTCAACAGCAGCAACAGCTAAAATGGATATCACATGTAACTTGAAGAGAGAGTAATGATATAATTAAGATGTTAGCTTTCCACACTACTTTAAACAAAAGGTTAGGAAAGAAACCCCCATCAATACTGTAAGGAGTAATAACAGCTACTGAACTTGAGAAACCTATTTTCCTGAAAAACTCTTTCAAGAGAAAGATTTTATATATTTCAATTGACAACAGCCCTGGTTGTTAAGTCAATGAATTCCAAATGTTTCCTTATAAGGAAACAGCTAATATTACAATTACTAATATTAGCATCTTACATAGATTAATCAATGATTGATAGACATGGATAATTCCAGCAGTAAAAACAGGATTATTCTTCACCCGTAAAATTTCTTCTTTCCATTCTCTTTATCCTGAAATCTTTCTGATTACATGATCCAAAATCTCCAAGAATGTGGGAAGGTATCCTCTCTTGAAAAACCGAACAGAGTAAACTCCAATTAATTAACCCGGGAACTGCTACACGTTATCCATGAACAGCCAGCCACCAGCAATCGTGCTTAGATTGTGCTAATTCTAACAAAGTTTGAGGCCAACTAGAAATTAACATTATTCAAACAAGTGGATTTGTAGGAGCGGAGTAAAGAGGGTAAAGACAATGCATTGTCTGTGATATTGTCATGATTTTAAAATTGGCTCTGAAAAGCAGAATACAACAGAATGCCAAGAGGTATTGCAGTGAAACTGCCAATTACTAAAAGAACAAACTTAGAGGATAAGAAAAAACAGATTCGGAAAAGACAAAAAAAAAAAAAAAGAAAAATAAACAGAGACTGAATAAACAAACTTTAAAAAAAAAAAGAAGAAAAATAAACAGAGTTATTATCACCTGATCACCTTCTGTCTGAACTGAATAAATCCTATTTATATTCAGAAACTTTTATTATTAAAATCACCTTCTGTCTGAACTGGGATGAAGAATTATTATTAAATTATTTATATTCAGACTATTATCCTCCTCTTTGTTGTCACCTGATCACCTTCTATCTGAATTTTTGGGATGAAGAATT